TGGGCCGCTCGCTTGTACAGTAATGGGGGGACTGAGGCAGATTCCCCGAGTTATTTTTAAGTGACTTTATGATCTCAATGACTTCTGTGGGCTCAGTTGGTGCAAGATAGAAGGAATTAGGGAAATTCCATCTAGGTAGTCCCCGGCATGGGCATTGGTATGTGGGATTTTACTGGCGAGATTAGATCCTATGTTTGAGAAGAAGTCGTTTATCTTGTTAGCTGTGTCAGTGGGAAGTAGTGGTGTTTCATTAGGTTTTGTTAGGACAATATTCTTGGTTTTTTCTCAGTTTGTGGGTCCCTAGAATCTGAGAGTGTTTTCCAGGTCTTTTTTATATCTCCTCTAGTGTCTGTGAATCTACTGGAGTAGTATAGTTGTTTGGCTTTCTTTATTTCTTTGGTGAGAGCTGATGGAAATAGTGTTTAAGAGTATCTTTGTGTTTAAGCCCCGTCTTTATTGCTTTTCATATTGGTGTTTCTTGTCAATGGATTTCAGAATGGTGCTGGTTAGCCATGGCAACCCCAAACCGTTTGTTTGTGATCTGTTTTGTTTTTATAGAACAATGTTTGTTGTATAGTCTAAGTAATTTGTTAAGAAAAAATGTCTGTCAGTCATCAATACCATTGGCCTTGGAGAATTTGTAGGCCAATCAACAGTCTCTAGGTCAGCTGTGAACTTCCTTACTGAGGCCTCGTCATGGAGTCTAAATGAGACTTTGTTGTATTCAAGTGGTGGTTTACTAATGTTTGTCAGGAGGAAGGTAGGGTAGTGGTGGTCTGTAGTGCTATCTGTGATTATCCCTGATTTAAGGGGGGCTAGTATATTGGTCCATATGCTGTCTATTATGGTTGCACTTGTCTCAGTGAGCCTGGTTGGTTTAGTTATTGTTGGTATGAGAAGTGTGTTGTTCATATTGTTGATGAAATCAGTTACAGGCTGATCATCTAGTAAGCCAGTTACATAGATTATCATACATAGCAGCATATGTGTACGAACCTTGGATAACCCAAAAATTCAGAGTGACTTATTTCCATTGTGGTTCTTGTGATAATTACATTGAGGTTCCACTGTATTTACTTTTAAAAGTTAAAAACAGGCAAGTATCTTAACTATCTAAAAGCAGTTACAATAAAAGAAGATATGTTAGGGGAGAGGTAAAATTAGTTATTTTCATACAAGAGATCACTCTCCTCCCTTTCTGTAGCCTTATTCATGAGGTACATTTTGGCTCTCTTCTTGAACTTGCTCATACTGTGATAGTCTTTGACATATACAAGGAGTTTATTCCACTCTTTTATTGCTGAGTAGAAAAATGTCTTTGAAGCCTGACCACTGACTAGGTATTAGAAAAGTTGTTCTCTCTTCCCTTAGTTCTGTAATTGCTTTGGTTCCCGACCTTAACAAAATTGGCAGTAAGATGTTGGGGACACTGGTGGTGAGCAATTTTATAAACGTAATTTAGCTTTAATTGATTTGTCTTCAACATTCAACATGCCCAGTTATTGTAATTCATTTTGGCCTAAATGCTTTCTTGGACCCGGGTCCAGAATGACTCTCACCATTTTGTTCTGGGTTATTTGTAGCTTGTCTTTCATGTTCTTTATTAAGGCAGAGTACCATGGAGAGAAAGAGTAGTCTATAATACATTACATGAGAGCTAGACGAGAATATCGCGGAACTATTCAATTCTACTGAGAGAAAATTATCCGGAAAAACGTAACTCTGAGGCATCCTTACGTGATATTTGAGATCAACTGTACAATGTTGGAGGCCTCCTAGTTGGAGTTTGAGGTACTGTGGCTCGTACGTTGGATTGTGTGCAGCTAGCAGTAACAGCCTGGTTGGTCAGGCTCTGATCCACCATGAGACCTGGTCACAGACGGGGCCGCGGGGGCGTTGACCCCCGGAACTCTCTCCAGGTAAACTCCAGGTTATGGTGTGCTGACAAAGCATAAAAGTTTGCATTTTACAATGGCACAAAGAGCTCACAGGTGTTATAGACACTGCGGAATGAAGACAAATATGCAATACTTCGGGTAATTATTAAAACCTTTTTATTTTTTTTCATCTGAGTGTAAAAAAAAACATAATACAGAATATATATATAATATATATATATATATATATATATATATATATATATATATATATATATATATATATCTTTCTTCTTTCAACACACCGGCCGTATCCCACCGAGGCGGGGTGGCCCAAAAGGAAAAACGAAAGTTTCTCCTTTTACATTTAGTAATATATACAGGAGAAGAGGTTACTAGCCCCTTGCTCCCGGCATTTTAGTCGCCTCTTACAACACGCATGGCTTACGGAGGAAGAATTCTGTTCCACTTCCCCATGGAGATAAGAGGAAATAAACAAGAATAAGAACTAGAAAGAAAATAGAAGAAAACCCAGAGGGGTGTGTATATATGTGCTTGTACATGTATGTGTAGTGTGACCTAAGTGTAAGTAGAAGTAGCAAGACGTACCTGAAATCTTGCATGTTCATGAGACAGAAAAAAGGACACCAGCAATCCTACCATCATGTAAAACAATTACAGGCTTTCGTTTTACACTCACTTGGCAGGACGGTAGTACCTCCCTGGGCGGTTGCTGTCTACCAACCTACTACCTAGATATATATATATATATATATATAATATATATATATATATATATATATATATATATATATATATATATATATATATATATATATATATATATAGGGTAAGGAAAAGTTGTAAGTAAGGTTAAGTGCGGAAATGTGAGTGTTTGCATGTAGTATGTGGAGGAAGTAGAATCAGCTTAACTTAGCTAGAAACACCAAAGCTACCTGAGTTTTGAGTTACCTTGCTGATAACCGTGAACAAGACATCCTCAGGGCAGCGATGTTACAGAACATTGTCCCTGACGAGCAACCTGACGTTTTTCCATCTCACGAAGTAGCCTGAGTGGGTTGCTCACCATGGAGCTGGTTAAAGCTCGTGCTCAAATATACACACGCTTTCAGGTTTCCCCCTCCCCTGTTCTTCTCGTCAGACTGCAGGAAAAGGGCACACGGTATCACTAACACGGCCACATTGAGAACAGTCACCCACTAGATAGAACAAATGCAGTTTGCAGATGGGAACTACAGTGATATCTTTCACCTGTGGAACAGGCCTTTTTAATCACTAGTTGCTATAAAAAAAATACTATATTTTTTCCAATTGTTCTTGTACGTTAAGAGACCATACAATAAGTGTCAGGGGCCCGAGACTGTTCAACTGCCTCCCAGCACACATAAGGGGGATTACCAACAGACCCCTGGCAGTCTTCAAGCTGGCACTTGACAAGCACCTAAAGTCAGTTCCTGATCAGCCGGGCTGTGGCTCGTACGTTGGTTTGCGTGCAGCCAGCAGCAACAGCCTGGTTGATCAGGCGCTGATCCACCAGGAGGCCTGGTCACAGACCGGGCCGCGGGGGCATTGACCCCCGAAACTCTCTCCAGGTAAACTCCAGGTACCATTCGTCGATACAAAGCGCATGTGTGTGTTAACCGATGCAATAATATTTATTTATTTATTTATTTGAACATGATGCAGTGAAGTACAAAGGAATACAGTTATTACAGTGCAACATGCCAAAGCCCCTTGTATGCAGAGCATTGTTTCATTCGCTAGGAACTTTGTCAAGCCAGTACAAACGATACGTGGACACAGGGTATTTAAAGGGAGAAAAGTGAGGCATTCGGAAAACTTAGTATACAGTAGCAGACTAGGTGGTATTATTTTTTATTAATAACAGCGGTCAGGGAACCAAGGGTACTGATGCTTTATTAGTTGCACGTAAGTCCATTCACCTAAGGTATTGTCGGCAGTCTTTCCACTGCAACATAGTGGACAATTTGAGCATGCGATGCTTGGATGATTTATGTGCTCACAGTCTTTACAACAAAGACGGTTCACTAATAGACTGGCAGAATTAGTGATTCTTATTCTACCTTAACAAATCTCTATCTAAAAACGCCATCACATACCAGAATTACTATTACCAAGGGATCACTCACCAATATTACTATTACTACTACTACTGCTATTAATTCTAACTCGATTGCTACTACTACTGCTACTATTACTACTATCCATACTACTACCTCCAAGTATGCACAGTTTTCCGAACACCTCGATTTACTCCCATTATTTAACATGTATCCCTGTTTGTATTTGGTTGATATAAATAGTGGTAAGCAAAACGTAGCCGTAGTAAATGTCTCATTAGTTGAACATGTATCCATTTACGTAACATGTCTGTATTTTTACTAGGTATATGTTGGTGTGAAAGCCAGCGGCTTTGTGTAGACAAATATGCATGCAGTTTGAATAATGCTTGCGTAAAACACAGGCATTTATATGGGTACTTGATAAGATGGAAAGTCGCCAAGTTGGTGATCGTGCAGTAGGAGAATCTGCAGAAACGTCGCCGCCTTGAGGGTGCCATAAACGCAATTTATGCCACAGCAGCCCTAAGTTCTGGTAATTTTAGCTTCTCATTAGTGCTTGTCAGTCCGATTCTATTCCACCACACTACAAAAGGAGGTGACGCAACTGACGTCAACGGTACTGACCATACCCAACTCATTTGACTCCCATAAGCTGAATGCATTAGAAAGAGATTCATCATTATTCATAATAAACACCATCAACACATGGATTCGAAGGTGGATATGACAGAATTTAAAAAATGGCCACACTAATTGCTTAAAATGGGCTGCGAAACTTAGTTTCGTAAGCCAGCGGATGCTTAATCAGTAATGGATGATCATTTGACAAAGACCCGTGTCAGGAGGCACCTGTTCTCACCTGAGAGATGATTTACGGTCGATGGATCTCGTTTCCACTTCTTGCAAAAATATTGTATTATAAAATATTGTATTATAAAATACAATACATTTCACATCCGCAGTCACACGAGAATGTATTTTTTCATCTGTTTATCAGATGTCTCTAAATGTATATATTACCTGGGTTTAAGTAACTTTAAATATTTAGTAATTTTTGTATTTAATATGAGTGAAAAATTAAAAGATTTTGACGAAATACCAATGGAAGTGGAGTCCTCTCCGGATGTTATCGTAGGGGTCCTCCCGGACCCTTTGGAAGTTAGCATGGAGGTCTTCCAGGAAGTTCGCCAGGACCCTCGAGAAATTATCATGGAGATCCCTCAGGAAGTTCCTATGGAGGTCCTTTCTGCTAGATACCCGGAGGTCACCCTACCCATCACCCCTAGAGTCCCAAGCCTGCGTTTCCCTTCCCCACACGCCCCCATCCCATGGGATATGGACTTCCCCAGCTTGAGGTCCCACTGTTTCCCTGTAGTGACACACGTGGTGGTGAGGCCCAGTATTGTATCCCCAGGAACAGAGGGGTGGTGGCCTCTGCTCAACGGAGAGCCTTACGTCGACCTGGTGGTGAACCACGAGATCGTCCTCAACCTGTACCCTGGACTCCAGCTGCTCCATGAGGGAGTGGATGAGGCTGGAGGGTCGGTCTACGTGGTGAGTTGCGTAAATGCCCCTCCGCTGCTGCCTCTTCCAGGACTCCCATCATTCTTGTATGACATGCACCCTTCCCCGTGACCCTCCTGAAGGGGTTACCTTAACCACCTGGAGATCTCAGATTTGTTTAATTTCTTTACACAGATGGCTAGTACAAAGCTCTTTCTCCTTTAAACCCTCATTCCAACCATTAATAAGGCTTTGTATTATCTGAATGGTTTAGTGCTCTACCATGAATATAATAATTCAACTCTCTTTATGATGTCTCCTTCCTTCCACTCCAGATTTAAACATCCTCTTCCTAATTTCCTCTATTTTAAGGCTATGGAACTTCAACATTACACCAGTGTCTCATTTTTTCTCGTTCATCAGCTTTATCTGGAGATCACAGTTTTTTATAGCGTGTGTTGTTTCTGATTTTAGTTCGTCGTTTTCCAGTCATCCACAACTCATTGTGTCAGCTGGGATGACTATAGAGGACGTGCTGTAGAAGAGGAGCTTCCGAAACTGACCAAGGGTAGAGTGCTCAGTGATGAATATTCAACTGACCCCGACTAAAATAATTGACCCCCCCTGATGACCAAATCTTTCAATGGTGGAAGTTTTTTTCCTTTTACTACGCCAAATTGGATACATCAGCAGTGTGCTGCTACCCTACTCATATGATAGTTACAGGTGGGAACAAAATCCGGATATGTTTCCCTGTTACATTCCATCACGCAGGATGGGGTTCATACACTGTGTTGAAATCTTTCAGCCTGCGCTAAGAGATTTCATTGATGTAATGCAGATATCATCAAGCATTCCATCAGCTACGGGAGCGTCAGACGTTTAGTTCCAGCAAACCTAGAGTTACGATAAGAAGACGAGGATGAAGAGGAAGGGGAGAGTTGATTGTGATCCTAATATGATCCGTGGCCGTACTGGACGGAACCTATATCCTGGTGTGGCTGGGACTTATTTAATAAGCTTAACTAAACGCTGCTACATGCAATTAGCATCACTAGTTTCTCTGCTGCAAACTGCAAGAGCGTCAACCTGCCCTCAGTTTCAGTCAAAATTCCGTCAGAAGAAAAAATCTGCAGAATGGCTGCTCCACTTTAGTAATAAATCAGAATAAGCTCGCCATACGAAATACGGTAGGTAGGTAGATATTACATTTGTAAGGAAACAGGTCAAGTGTTTCCTGACGCGGGTCTTAGTCATATGATGACTTACAGCTGGAGCTTTTCGTAATCTGACCGAGGACTTCCGCTGGTCAAATTCCACCTCTTTAAAAATCATAGTAATGATTATAAGCATTATGGTTATTTTAATTATACGAAATACGGTGGCGGAGTGATACTTCTAAGCTGTAGATTTTGTGTTTTTTCATAACACGGCCATTATAATATATACAGAAATGCTCACATTTTTTTGCCATGGTAATGTTGAAATAAATCACACCTCGAATAGATAAAGTTAAACTAGACAGTGCCTCGGCCAGTCGTGGACCTCTGTCGTGTTGCATGTTACGAATCATTAAGCCATTGTGGGTTACTCAGCGCAAGGAGAACAGGGAAAAAACGATCGCTATCAAATTGTAAGAACAGAGGGAAAAGCCTAAAGTGAAGTCAGGTCATCAAGAGAGGAAACAGAGCCCAAAAAAAAAAAAAATTGATTCTCCTCCATTAATCTTGAGACAGAAACCATACTACTGCAGACAGGCTTCCACGCCGTCCAAAGGAAAAAGAAATGTGTAGGTATATCTCAAGCGACCACTTCAGTGGTGATACAGTAATGGATCCATGTCGGGGTAGAACGATGGGGCTCCTGCGTGAGCGTGAGAAGCCCAGCACTCCACGTAGGTGGACCCCCCGGTGGATCCTTCCCTTCCAGGAGGAAGGTCGGGGTGCAAGTGGAATCACCCTGTGGTTCCCCCGCCAACTGCCACCCCAGCACCCCGACGGGGCGGGGGGTGTTGCTCACCAATTAGGGCCCCGGGGTAGGAAAAAGGGATTCATTTTGGGGGACTGATGGAAGTCTGAGAAGGGATCCCCGGGATGTTGCTAAAAGGGGACCGCACGAACCCCGGGACGTGCCCTGAAAGGCCACTCCGGGGAACTTTGAAGAAACCCCAAAGGACCCCTCAAGAGGTGCTTCCGGGAGTGTTTAAAGAGGAACGTCCGGGGGAGACAAGGGGAACTTCTGGTAGGACCTAGGACTTTCCCCGGGGGGGAACTTTCCCTTGGCTGATAACTTTTCAAAAACTTTTGACTTTTTAAAATCAGTTTTTTTTTAAAAAAAAAATTTAACAGAAATAATGCTACCTACAGTGAGGAGATATTTAGTTTAGTGAGTGGCAGACACAGATGACTGTCATGAGGAAGGTCTCTTGAACCGCCACACTTGATTGCCAGACTTTTCCTAGTCGTTGAATGCCCAAAATGGATTCAGCGCTTTCCACTGAATGATATAAATCTCTTCAGTTCCGCTTCTCCGCTACTTTGATGTTGCAAAGTGTGTCTTAGCATTTCTTGGGCATTTGTGTATTCATTCCTCATCTGTGTCACGTTCTTTTTTCAGTCTAGATTCTATGTCTTTACTATTCTGGTCACGTGTGATTAATTTTTCATGAAAATGTCTCTCTTTTGGTTCGGCCCAAAGTATGAGAAGGTAGATGTGTGTTTGCGTTAAGTTACGGAGGCTCGACCTTCACTCATTACGAAAATGACTATCAAAACCATGGGCGTGTTTTTGTTGTTTGGTCAGATATTTGTTGAGAAATAGAACGCTGTTTATTTTTGGTCATGAGCAAAAAAGATGCCCAGTAATACAGAGGACAGGACGGGTAGCAGCACAAAGGGAAAAAATACAGGCTGACACACACACACACACACACCAACCAGGGGCAGATAACAGACGACAGGTAGCACACACCAATACACACCGGGGAAAAAGAGACTCATAATGCAACTGATAATTCACATCATTTTTCTCCCCTCCGGAGCAGCAGAGGCGATGCTTTAGGGATTTCTCCCGCAAAATTTCAAGTGTTATTTCCCAAAGGGGGTTTTTGGGTGAGTGGTGGCGGCGAGGACGGGGTGACGTTACTCATAATAATTTCTCAGTAGTTAATTTCTCTGTAGTTAATTTCTCTGTAGTTAATTTCTCTGTAGTTAATTTCTCTGTAGTTAATTTCTCTGTAGTTAATTTCTCTGTAGTTAATTTCTCTGTAGTTAATTTCTCTGTAGTTAATTTCTCTGTAGTTAATTTCTCTGTAGTTAATTTCTCTGTAGTTAATTTCTCTGTATTTTAATTTCTCTGTAGTTAATTTCTCTGTAGTTAATTTCTCTGTAGTTAATTTCTCTGTAGTTAATTTCTCTGTAGTTAATTTCTCTGTAGTTAATTTCTCTGTAGTTAATTTCTCTGTAGTTAATTTCTCTGTAGTTAATTTCTCGGCAGTTAATTTCTCGGCAGTTAATTTCTCAGTAGTTAATTTCTCAGTAGTTAATTTCTGGGCAGTTAATTTCTCAGTAGTTAATTTCTAGAAAAACTAGTTTTTTTCTGAAGGAAATTCGCGATGAATTATCTCTAGAAATATTTCTTATTTTATTTCCGAGGCTGTGATGAGGAAGAACAGACTACGAGTGAAATGTAGAGAAAAGGAGGAGGTGAAAAAGAGGGAGATGCAGTAGGAGGGAGGAGGAAGTAAAGGAGTGAGATAGGGAGGAAAAAGGGAACTGAAGTAGAGTGAGAGAAAAGAGAGGCTGTTGCAAAGAAGAACAAGGAGTGAGATAGAAGAGGAATAAGAGAGTGAGGAGGTTGGGAGTGGGAAGGAGGGACGAAGAGAGTTAGGGAGGATTGGGAAGGGCAGGAGAAAGGAAAAATAGGAATGGAGAGAAATGAAATAGAGAGACGGAGAGGACGTGAGTTAACAGGGAGGGGGAAGGAGTGGAGAGGTAGGGAAAGGGAGGAAAGGACAAGGTAATAGGAGGGATAAGGAATAGGGAGGAGGAGCGAGAGGAGTGGGAATGAGGATGGGGTTAGTGTCTGACTCGTTGTCATGTCTCTACTGGAAAGATGCACTTATATAAGTAAGGATACCTAGATATTGCGCTTGTGCATAATTTATCAGCCTGTCGGTACTGTATACCATTCATGTACATTGAAAGGAAATACACAAGGAACTCAGTGAAAGACAGCGGTGTGTTGAGTGTAAGAAGGTAGCTGCCGATATGAAGTGTGAGCAGAACAGACTTAAATTGGGACCCCTTGATTTAACCGGATTAATAAGGGTGTGTGGGTGACCACTCATGACGATTGTTGTGGAGAGGAATAAGACTCTTTTGCCTCATTCCAAACAATAAAAAAGTACTATATTCATTGCTTCCGGATAAAGGGACCCAGAAGATTTTGTCTCGTATTCTTGAGGTTGGTTAAACCAAGGTCCGTTAAATCGGTGAGCCGAAGTCCATTAAACCTGGATTCGTTAAATCGAGATCTAACTACAACCAGGACACTTACTAAACACAGGCCAGGACATGCAGTGCTACGTGATCCAATATCACGAAGCTCACAGAATTATTTTAATTTTTTATTACATTTATGGGGAAGCGTTAAATTCTCAGGTACTGTACAGTGCCTAGGGGGAATGGGAAGCAATTAGGTTTATTCCAGTCAGGTCCAATTCCTTGGCTTTAAGTAAATCACCGGCATTAAGGCACCTCCCTCGAGGGGTTGTGACAGAGGACTTTAAAATGGTATCTGAAGGATGTATATATATTTAATGCGGAAACATATCAAGTTTTGAGTGAGGGAGAGAGAGAGAGAGAGAGAGAGAGAGAGAGAGAGAGAGAGAGGAGAGAGAGAGAGAGAGAGAGAAGAGAGAAGAGGGGGAGAAAAGAGAGAGAGAGAAAATGTAGTGAAGAAGAGTGAGAGAATATAAATGGATAAATGTATATTAAACAGATTAATAACTATAACTTACAACAACTCACTTAAAACAGAAAAAATGCAGAGACGAAAGTAACTGGAAAATGTAAACGTTATACTTAATAAAAAAAAAATAAAACAATAGACTAAACCACAGACCAGGATTCCTGATATGTATATTCTAAATAGCAATACAAAAAGACAATAAAGAGTTAGATAGTAAA